CGAAGATTACGCCTAGATTATTTGCTTCGTGAACAATAGGGACTATCTCGTTGTTTAAACGGATATTAAAGCTACGCTCAATATTTCTCCTAAGTTTAAAATTAGATCCCAAAATTAAAGCTTTTGATTTAGAAACATTAAGTTTTAAATTTTGGCGTATGGCAAAACCGTTTACCTCTAGCAGGTCTTAATCAATGTGATTTTCGGTTGTGCCCAAATTATCGTGATTAATAGCAATACAAAGTTGTGAGTAATCGGCGTACTGAGATGGAGCCTTGCATAAGCAACAACTTCAGACATATCTGCCACATAAATACTAAACAACAAGGGCGAAAGGATTGATCCTTGAGGGACACCTTGTTTTACAGTTTTAAATTCAGATTTGAGGCAAACGGATCCTTGAGAAATCATAACACATCTTGATCGAGTACTTGGTAACTTTTTGCAAAGGGTATTGACGGTATATCTCTTTTTATGATTAAGCTATCTATCCCTATTATACTACCTTACTTGACCCATATTATCAATCTGTGTGTTGAGAAGGGCTACTTTCCTAAATCTTGGAGACGAGCAATATTAAGGCCAATACCTAAGGTCAGGAAGCCCACCGATTTCACGGATCTTAGGCCCATCAGTCTTTTGAGTGTTTTGTCAAAGATCTTGGAGAAAATCATTTATTTGCACATCTTAGATTTTTTAGAGTCAAGTGACATACTCCCAGTACATCAGTCTGGGTTTAGAAAATCATACAGTACTACAACTGCTCTTCTCAGTTTAGTGGACAACATCATCAGGGCCCTTGATAAAAAAATGTGTGTCGCCTTAGTTTCACTGGATTTCTCCAAGGCCTTTGATAGAATTGATCACGCACTGATGTGTGCTAAGCTAAAATTTTATGGTTTTGATAAAATAGCACTGCAGTTTTTTAAATCATACCTAACCCACCGTTCTCAGCGCGTCTCACTTTCTGGAGTTTTGTCAAATGAGCACTTTATCACTTCGGGTGTGCCTCAGGGCTCAATTTTAGGACCCTTGTTATTTTTAATTTATGTAGTACAAAATAACTGCGTACGATTCATATTTAGTTTAAGAAAATACATTTGATCATGTTTCGGATCGTTATTCTTTAATAGGTTGGTTAAAGATGACAGATTTAGTTAAATACAACTATCTAACCTTTATAAATAAGTTACTTGTCTCTGGAACTCCAATTTATTTACGTGAAAAACCAATTTTCAGGTATAATGTTCATCAACGACATATCCGTAACACATTCGCTTTAACAATGCCACTTCATAGTTCATCTGTTTTTAACAGGTCCTTCTCATATAATGCATGCATGTTGTACAATAGCTTAGATTACAGAACAAAAAGCCTGCCGTTGTATAGTTTTAAAAAACACTAAAGAGCTCTTCTGCTCAATGGTGATTCTTAAAGGTGTTTTTCTCCAGCATTATATTTTTAAGCTAATTTTTATTTAGGTTGTAATCAGTTACATGGGCATTTTCCTCCTTTTATTTTCTTTACAGCTGTATCTTTTACCATCTATTATTCTTATGCAGTTAATGGTTAAGTGTAAGAATAGCTGCCATAGCTAAACTTCGCCATTAAGCTGCTCACTAATCTAATTATAGATAATAATATATGCATGATCTGTAATTTGTTTTTTCTAATAAAAGACGGTTTATTATTATTATTTTTAGAAAACTAATTGCATTAGGTGAGAATCCAAAATAGATTAGCTTTGCCAGCAGCATTCTGTGATTTAAGAGTATCAAAAGCTTTGCTAAAATCTAACAAAATAGTTGTGCTAAAATTCTTCCTGAATCCCGATTGATATTGAGGAATGATATTTTGCCATTCAGAAAATGCCGACATCTGAACAAAAATGTGCTTTTCTATAAGTTTTGACACCGAGGACAAAATACTAATTATACTGAGGTTTTTTAGTTCTTTAGACTCGCCAACCTTTGAAATGGGTTTCACAATAAAATGATTTACTGAAATCTTCAATACCTCGAAAACGTTAGTTAAAGCGATATGTTATGTCTTGTGTTAACTGTATCGAGCAGTTTAGAGAAATAATAATATTTATTCACTCAATGTACAAAGATAACAAACAATATGAGTAAATAAATATAAAATCAAAACAGGCCCAATAGAAGGCATCGCCTGTACATGGACCAATAAATTTAAGTTGAAACTGTAGAATGCAAATGACAAAAAAGGACAAAAATTAGCTACAGTAGATTATGTGTTTAGTTGATGTTCGTATTTATGAGTTTATGAATTTCAGTCCTAGATATAGAATGTAGCCACTTTTTTAAATTTCTTTTGAAACAATTTCCGAAACGTAAATCTTTTAAGTCTTTAGGTATAATTTCATAAAATTTAGGCGCTAAATAGAGATATGATCGCTGCATTATAGATTTATGCGGTTGAGGAACTACTGTGCCACGAATTTTGTACCTGGTATAATGATTATGTTTAATTTTTTGGTCGGTGTTTACAAATTTATGGTAGTGAGTGATACTGTGTAAGAAATAAAGCTGTCTTATATCATACATTCGAACATCTGCGTATAATTTTTCAGTGGGATAAAGTTTCGGTTTTTTAAATATCATTTTTAGAATACTTTTTTGAAAAACATCTAAATTATAGATATGTGAGGAACATGCAGCTCCCCATGCTAATATACCATATGTGAGATGAGGCTCAATCAGTGCATGGTATAATGTTCGAAGATATTTTTCTGTCAATATATTCCCAAGGTATTTAATTTTGTAGGATACAAATCTAACTTTCTTTAAAATATAATTGACATGGATGTCCCATCGTAAGTGAGGATCCAATACCACTTCAAGGTATTTTATGTTGGGCACTCTATTAATTTGCATTTTTTGATCATTAATATTGAAGGAGAAATTTGTGTAATTTGGCAGATGTCTAGCATAAGATCCAAATGGTAAAAAATGTGTTTTAGAGTAGTTAATGCTTAATTTTCTACTGTTAAACCACCGAATAATTTTGATAAAATCATTTTCAATTACATTTTTCAGATCAGACCAGTCAGTGCCTTCATATAATATTGCAGTAGCATCTGCAAAACTAGTTATTTTGCCAACACAATTAATTTGGAAAATATCATTTAAATATGTATTGAATAACAGCGGACCTAAGACAGTTCCTTGTGGGACACCACACTTAATATACATTTCTTTACTAAATGATCCTGATATCTGCACAGATTGTGGGCGATTTGACAAATAACTTTCGATCAGTGAGTACGCGTTTCCTCTGAAACCAATTCTCTCCAATGCTTCTAATAATAATTTGTGATTAACTGTGTCGAAAGCTTTCTTTAAATCAACAAAAATGCAGACTGAAGGGATTCTGTTATCAATATTTTGATGTATTTGATTTAGAATTTTAGTTATTGCGTCCGATGTAGCCTTCCCTTCTGTAAATCCATATTGATTTTCACTTAAAATTTTGAATTTTGTGAGGTATTGAATCATTCTAGTAGATAAAACTTTTTCAAAAACCTTTGCTACACTGGATATTATTGATATTGGTCTATAGTTGTTAACATCTGTTTTGTTCCTGATTTATGTATCGGTATTATATTACCTTTTTTTAAAATTGAGGGATATATGCCAGATTCAAAGCATTTGTTGATTAGGTAAGTGAGTGGTTCTGTTATGTCCTCGGCTATAATTTTCAAATGCTCGCTTTTAATATCATCGAACCCACGACTTTTCCGATTTTTTAAGGACATAACAGTGGTGTATACTTCACATTGCTCGACTTTATCCAAAATAAATGAGTTCAAAGTTCTTTTTGGAGGCTGAGTATTTTGTACATTTGCTTGTATATTACTTGCTAAATTTTCGCCTATGTCAGTAAAGAATTGTACAAATTCATCGCATATCTGTTGAGTATTTTTTAATACTGTTCCCGATGTTGTATTTAACTCAGTGACACACTCTTTAACTTTTGTTTTCCCAGTAATCTCATCAATAGTTGTCCAAAACCGCTTAGGATCATTTAAGTTATTATTCAATTTATTTAGGTAATGTTTTCGTTTGGTTTGCCTTACAAGCTCTATAAATTTATTTTTATATTGGTTGTAGCAGTCGGTATTCTCTGTAGTTGGCGTTAGTTTCATTACATTATATAGTATTTCTTTTTCTATTGCCGATGTTATTAATCCTTTGGTAATCCAGGAATTTCTGCTTTTCTCTTTGTGACTAATTATTACTTTATTGGTACTAATATCTATTAGTTTTTTTATTTTCTCTATGAACAGTCCCGTTGCTTTGTCTATATTATTTATAGAGTATAATTGTTCCCAGGATTCTTGTTTGACATTTGATATTAGTTTTGAATTGTCGACAAAAAATTTGTAATTTTCCTGGTTGTTACTAACGGTAGGAATGTTAGAATGTTTTTCATTTGAAGATATCAGTAAAATAGTGGAGAAGTGGTCAGTAATATCGCTTTCTAGGATTATTGGTATACAAGTAATTTTGTTGGATAGGTCTTTCACAAAGCAGTGATCTATACATATGCCACTGATGGACCTTGTAGGTAGGTTTATATAGGACAGAAATCCGTTACTTGATAGGATATTCAAGTATTCATTTGTGATGGGATCATCGTCCAAAATATTTATATTGACATCTCCCAAGAAAATATGTTGCTTTAAATGAACTTTATTTTGATTTTGAAAAAAAAATTCGATATTCTTTAAAAACTCGTGGGGTTCTGAACATGGCGGACGATAAATTGCAGATACCTCAATTTTGTTATGATTAATTTGGATCATTATGTTTAAAATTTTGATTCCATCGGTGAAAGTGAATGTATCATGATTATATTGCAGTTTATTTCTTACAAAAACTATCACCCCATCGTTTTGGTTATAAGTGCCAAGGTTATACAGCGTGTCATATCCCTGCTGATTGAAGCATTACAGTTCAATTTTCAATTATTTTCAGTGATCTGAATCGGACATCTTCAGGAATGGAAGAACATCTGTGTAATCCTAGTTGTGATGCTAATACATGTAATGAGGAATTTACTACTACGGCGAGTTTAAATAACCTTGAAAGTATCAAACGTCCTGATTTTGAAGAGTCGGCTCCTAGTTCATATAAAACCTTAAATAGCCATTTATCTAGAAGTATGTCTGTATCTAAAGGCGAACGTGGCTACAAGCTCAGTACATGTATTCACTGTGATGCGACATTTAGAAGTAATATAAGCTTAGATGATCATATAATTAGGAAACATCCCGAATTTTTGTCAACTGTTTCTAGTAGAATACACGGATGTACACATTGTGCATATAAAACCACCTTAAAAAGCCATATATCTAGACATATGGTGCTGCATTCCGTGGGAGAACGTCGTCTTAAGCTCAGTACATGTATTCACTGTAATGCGGTATTCAGAAGTAATGCAAGTTTGGATGACCATATAATTAGGAAACATCCCGAATTTTTGTCATCTGTTTCTAGTAAAATACACGAATGTACGCATTGTTCATATAAAACCATTTCAAAAAGCCATTTGGCTGGTCACATGCTGAAGCATTCCCTGGGAGGAGGTAGCGATAACAAGTCCGTCAAATGTATTCACTGCAATGCCACATTCAGAAGTAATCTGAGTTTAGATGACCATATAATTAAGAAACATCCCGAATTTGAGCCGACCTGTTCTAGCAAAATACACGAATGTATACTTTGTACATATAAAACGGCATTAAAAAACCATTTCTCTAGACACGTAAGGCTGCTGCATTCTATGGAAGAACGTAGCTATACGCTGAGCGTATGTATTCACTGTGATGCGACGTTCAAAAGTAATGCAAGTCGAGATGACCATATAATTAGGATACATCCCGAATTTTCGTCATCAGTTTCTAGTAAGATACATGAATGTACGCATTGTACATATAAAACCATTTCAAAAAGCCATTTTACTGTACACATGCTAAAGCATTCTGTGGGAGAACGTAGCCATATTGAGCCCGTTACCTGTGTACACTGTAACGCGCCATTCAGGTTTGAACTAACTCTCCATAAACATATTATTAAGGAACATCCCGAATTTCTGGCGTCTGTTTCTAGTAAAATACACGAATGTACGTATTGTGCGTATAAAAGCAGCTCAAAGAAGCTTTTGGCTGGACATATGCTGAAGCATTCAGTAGAACGTAGCAATAATAAACTGTTCATATGTATTCACTGTAATACGACATTCAAAAGTAATCGCAGTTTAGATGATCATATAATTAAGAAACATCCGGAATTTGTGTCATGTGTTTCTAGTAAAATGTTTGAATGTACACATTGTACATATAAAACCACCTTAAAAACCAGTTTAGCTGGACACATGCTGAAGCATTCCGTGAGAGAACGTAAGCATGATAAGCTCTTTACGTGTATTCACTGTAACGCGAAATTCACAAGTAATCAAAATTTGGATGATCATATAATTCGGACACATCCCGAATGTTTGTCATCCGTTTCTAGTAAAATACATGATTGCACACATTGTACATACAAAACCACGTTGAAAAGCAAGTTAGCTGGACACGTGTTAAAGCATTCCGCGTAGGAATGTGGCCACAAGCTCAGTACATGTACGAGGTTTGTTCGAAAAGTATCGCAAATTTTGAATTTTCGCGGGCTTCGTATGTTCGATTTTCGATCTTTTTGTGGCGTTATGTTGGTACTCATGACGTCATGACCCTTACTAATTTTGACAGTATCGGCCATTTTGAATGTTCAGTCATTTTTTGACAGCTATTGTGCGTGGACGTGTTTTAGCTCCGATTTTTGTCTATTCCAAAAAATGGTTTAAAGAATTTCTATTAAATTTTGTGTAAAAAAACAAGGTGAAGTGCACGGACATATTCCAAATGTTGACTGTTGCATTCGGCAAAGCTACTTTGGACAAAAGCAACGTTTATCTGTGGTAAAAAATGTTCTCAGAGGGGACAAAATAGATATTCATGAATAAATAAATGATTCTTAAAAAACATGAAATTCGCGATACTTTTTGAACAAACCTCGTATTTATACTAATAGCGGCGTATACAGCGTGGCGCAAGAGTTTCGGAACGTCTCTGTATTTCCTTGGGTAAGGTATTTTTGGGAAAGATCAGGGTCAGGTCTTCAATAATTTTTCGCGAGTAATTCAACGATGACCTTGAATTTGACATTCACCTCCAGGGTTAATTCGTGGTTCATTTTTTCAAATAGAAACCCCTATGTTTGATACTGGCAATCGAAAGAACAGAAAATTTTACATTCAAACATAATTAAATACTAAGGCCAGGATGACCCCTAAAGGTCAACAGAAGATCAAATGTGTGATGCTAAGAAAACCTCTCTAAATCTAACAGGATGTGTGAGTGATGAAAATAACGATCAAGGCCAGATCTTTGTTAAATTTTAACGGAGAAGTCAGCGCTGACCTTGGATTGGACCTTGACCTCCAATGTTATTTCAAAGTCACTTAATTTTTTTTTAATAAAAATCTATTGTCGATGCAGCGCAGATAATTTTGGGTCCAAATACGGATTGATGTCCAAGGTAAGGGATCCATCTAAAGGTCAAATGTGTGCTGCTAGTAAAACAACTATCAAGGTCAGGTACATTTTAACGAGAGAGAGAGAGAGAGAGCGGTAATATAAGATTTGATGGATATTTTTGATGCCAGCAATCTAAAGAACAGAAAATTTTACGTCCAAACTCAATTAAAGTCTAAGGTCAGGATGACTACTAAAGGTCAAATGAAGATCAAATGTGTGCTGCTAAGAAACCTTTATTTTTTTTTAATGAAAATCCCTATTTTTGATGTCGGTAATCGAAAATTTTACGTTCAAATACGGACTGAAGTCCAAGGTCAGGTTGCCATCTAAAGGTCAAATGTGTGCTGCTAGGAAAACCTCTTTAGATTAGAATTTTAACAAGGGAGGGACGGTGATCTTGGATTTGACCTTGATCCTCAATGTCAAGGTCAACTGCAGTTTTTTAATGGAAGTCCCTATTTTTTATATCTGCAATCGAAAGAGCGGAAATTTTACGTTCAAATACGAATTGAAAATAAAGGTCATGGTGACCATTAAAGGTCAAATGGAGATCAAATATGTGCTGCTAGGAATACCACAACGAATCTCACAGAACTAGCGACGAAAATAACTATCAAGGTCAGGTCTGCAGTACATTTTGACGAGTGATCTTGGATTTGATCTTGAAGGTCATTTGTAAGGAGCAAAGTAGTTCCCTCGTTAAAACTTACCTTAAGATCTGAGCTTGCCAGTTATTTTCGTTACTATTCATGTTAGATTCCTAGAAATTTTCCTAGCAGCACACATTTGGCCTTTATGTGACATCTAGTGGCACCTTGACCTTGTCATGGATTGTAGGCATCAAATAGGCTATTTGGAAAATAGACTTGATCTTGAAATGACCTTTAAGGTCAATTCCATGATCACTCGTCAATATTTACTAAAAACCTGACCTTGATAGTTATTTTCATCACTAGTCCTGTAAGTTGCATCGTGGTTTTCCTAGCATCAAACATTTGACTCTTAGTGGTCATCATGATCGTTATTTTCAATTCGTATTTGAACGTAAAATATTGCGATTTTTCGATTGCCGACACCAAGAGCATAGATTCCCATTAAAAAATGAAGTTGACCTCGAACGTGAGGATCAAGGTCAAATTCAAGATCACTCGTCAAAATTTGCCAAAGAATCTACCTTGATAGTTATTTTCATCTCTAATCCTGTAAGATCCATAGTGGTTTTCCTACCAGCACATATTTGATCTCCATTTGACCTTTAATGGTCACCATGACCTTTATTTTCAATTCGTTTTTGAACGTAAAACTTCCTCTGTTTGGATTGCCGCCATCAAAAATTGGGATTTCCATCAAAAAAATGAAGTTGACCTTGACGGTGAGGACCAAGGTCAAATCTAAGATCACCGTTCGCTCCCTTGTTAAAATTTACCAAAGACCTGACCATGATAGTTTTCATCACTAATCCTGCGAGATTTATAGAGGTTTTCCTAGCAGCACACATTTGACCTTTATATGGCACCCTGACCTTGGACTTTAATTGTGTTTGAACGTGAAATTTTCTGTTTTTTCGATTGCCGGCATCAAAAATAGGGGCTTCTATTTGAAAAAATTAAGTTGACCATGCATGAACCTTTACTGATGGAGGTTAAGGTCAAATTGTAGGACACCGTTGAATTCCTTGCTGAAAGTTACTGAAGGCCTGACCTTGAACTTTTCCAAAAATAGCTTACCCGAGAAAATAGAAAGTCCTATAGTTCGGGAGGGGTCTATAAGCCTCGGAAGGGAGTTGGTAACAACCAGACTTTCGTAATTGTAATCATATATGGTCAAGATAACGTAAATAAATGTTCAATTGCCAATTTAACGACGTTTTGAGGGATGGACATAGCACTTAGTTTCATTTAGAACTCAGAATTTTGGGGTGGCGGGCCACGAAACATATTGAAAGAAATGTCGTTTTGCATCGAAAAGCAGTAACTAGCTTTTACATGTTTCTGAGGGCATTTATAAACTTTTTCTAGCTTTTTGTTTTTGTAGCTGGAAAATATTTTCATGGATTTTTGAGTACTTTTAATTTGATGTGATTCAAAAAATATTTGAAAATTGCTGATAATAATAATCTTAAAATACAAAATGTAATATAAATACATGAAAATAAACCAATAAGCATGAAGGTATGAAGTCGTGCTTCATTGCTTCAAATATTTTAAAATACAAAAGATTTGGTCGAACGTATAAAACTACATACTGATTTTTGATGTATATGAGCTTACGTATAAATGACTTAGAATTCACGACTTTAACTCAATTGTGGTACGTTTCTTTTTGACTATATGTTTTAATATATTAATAATATAAAATTTTGGGCCTAGAAAATAAAATGATCGTTGACTTGAAGCTTTATTCAATCTGGGTATAGTTGTTGATGATTTTTTGAATCGTGTTTGATCCACTGTCATAACTTTGTACGTTTAGTTAAATATACGACTGTATTGTTATTCAATAGTCTACAAATTTTGATTTACTATAAGGATTTTCCATTGGATATAATTTATTTTTGTTAGACATAATTTTTAATATACACTTCTAACGAGTTTCGATCTTTTTAATTATCCATGACTCCCTTCCCATGCCAAGATTCCATAAGAAATAAGTGGGTAAACAAGAGCGTGATAACTATGTATAGATATTTTACATTCAGTAAACTGCTGGAATATTTAATTTTTGGGATAAAGCATCTCAATTTTATGACTAAGTTTTCAACATGCATATTCCATTTTAAATTATTATCTATAATTATCCCTAAATTGTTATTATTTATTGGTTGTATATATTTGTAGCCATCTCTGGTGTTTGAATTTGGAATTTGTTAAACTGTGAACAAGACGTGAGGTTATGAAGTTTGTTTTGTTAATATTGTCAAAATTCTTTCTGTGAAAAAAATCATTACTATACTAAGTGACATATAAATCCGAACACCCAGTTTAAATGGTTTTATTTTAATAAAAGTTGGTGAATGTATTTATCTTACTGTAAATAACAAGTGAAAAAATTTTCAGCCTTATCAGTTGGACATTCCGGTTTTTATACTGCTTTTTTTAATTCACTAATGCTCTAAAAATGAATATTTCAGCCGCAGTAAAGAATCAACGTTGGCGGATTTTGGTTCTTGACATCCTTTACGATCGGTTACGATGCCTAGAGTACGGAGACCTGTACGATTTCGTCAACTTAGTGAGTTTGATAGGGGCCGTATAGTGGGACTTCGGGAAGCTGGACTTTCTTTTCGGGCAATTGCAGTTAGAGTGCAAAGAAGTGTTAGACACTGTGGTTAGGTGTTGTCAGGCATGGTTTCGAGAAGGCCGTACGCAAAGAGCAAGGGGCACTGGACGCCGCCGTAGAACAACAGACCGTGAAGATCGCCGCCTAAGATTATTGGCCTTAAGGGACCGTTTCTCCACTACCAGATCCACTGCAAATGAATGGTTTGCAGAACACGGAGACCTATTGGCATGCGAAGTGTTTACCGACGAATGAGAAGTTTTGGCTTGTTTTCATACCGGCCACACTGGGTCCTCCCTTTAACTCGAGAACACGGACGTAATCGCCTTGAGTGGTGCAGAGAACGCTCACTCTGGGATCAGGAATGGAACAGTATTGTCTTTAGTGACGAGTCTCGATTTTGTTTAGGCATGCACGATGGTCGTGCCAGGGTTAGAAGGCGACGTGGTGAAAGGAGGAATCCACAGTCTTTTGTTGAAAGACATGTTCATCACACTGTTGGAGTTATGGTTTGGGGTGCTATAGCTTATGGTTCCAGGTCACCTTTAATCTTCATCAGAGGTAACATGAACGCGCAGCGATATATCCACGAAGTTCTAGAACCCCATATTTTACCCTATCTTGACACCCTGGCAGATCCAACTTTCCAACAAGATAATGCCCGACCACATGTTGCAAGAGTCACAATAGACTTCTTTCAACATAATGATGTCACAATGTTACCATGGCCACCAAGATCTCCCGACTTATCCCCAATTGAGCACGTGTGGGATATGATGGGTAGGAGATTGCTCAATTTGCAACGTCCTCCTCAGACTCTAGAAGCACTTCGAGAGGAGTTGGTGGTTGCCTGGAATGAGATACCACAGGAGGACATTGACCGCCTGATCAGAAGCATGCCTAGGCGCGTTGGAGAATGCGTAGCACATCAGGGTGCATCCACACATTTTTAAAGGTCAAAGGGCTTTAAAGCAGTGCAATCATTTTGAAAATTTTATCATTTACGTATTATGCTTCATTAAGTACTTATACAAAATTTTATTAAAATAAAACCATTTAAACTGGGTGTTCGGATTTATATGTCACTTAGTATATTTGGAAATCTAATCCGATTTTGTTCTTTAAAGAACCCCAGTCTTCATTTGAATACATAATAGCCGTATCATCTGAATAACCAATAATGTTTCCATCATTCATTTTGAAAAGATCGTTAATACAGAGTGGCGCATCGAAAACGAAACAGACGAAGTTACTGGCAGCTCAGTTTTTATTTTGGAATATAGATATAGATTATATGAATCTGGTCTTAACACAGTTCCATGTGGAACTCCAGATCTATCTGTAACGTCTTCGTTTAGTGAGTTATTGATACTTAAACAGTGTGTTTTATTTTCTAAACACTTAACTATCCATGAAATAACAAGTGTTACTATCAAAAGCTATGACTAAATCTATAAAGATGCAGATGGTTGGCGTATTGTTATCAATGTGCTTATAGTCTAATCATATGAGCAAATTTCCCCGAAATAATTGTAAATTCTGGTTTTATTGGTGCAAGTTGTTCAGGGGCTATTTAAAACATGGACGCATAAAATGGGTACACCAATTTTTGTGAG